AGTTGGGCACGTGCGGACGATCAACAGGTCGTTACAAAGCCGATTGAAGCTGTTCGTATCTTAAGGACCAAAAAATTGGGCTCGAGAATGGCGCCGAGGCGTTTCAGGCTCCATTTCCTGAGTGAAACTCATGAGAGAAACTCCTGTGTAGGACCTCTGATTCTTAACATATTCACGTCAACACTGGCTTCTTCTGTCGGTTGCGTTCCGACTTGCCATGGGATATCGATCAAAATACTTCGACATTATGTCAATTGCTTTTGTAGTCATATATCCATATCCATGTACTGTACAAGTGATGCATTCGTTTTGAATAGTGTTTCACCACATTGTTGGAGTAGTGCCTGCGTGCCAGCCTTCTCAAACATCCCACCGATGTCCAATTGGGGTATCCATTTCCTATGATTTTAACATGCAATATATATTTGCATTCTTATACGGTCCATTTGTGCTTCTCCTTCAGCTCCCACGTTTGTTAAGGACGGAGAAGGGTCACCTCTCCCCTTTCGCCTCAGAACCTTTTGACAGAGAACAACCTGAAGAGTTCTCAAGTCTCGAACCTTGGATGCAAACCATGCGTACTTATTGTTGTAGGCAAGTCAAATACGTAAAAAGTGGAAAAGAGAGGGAACAGGTTATTACGTCGATAAACTAGGCGCCAGTCGGGAATAAAAATCAGAAGTTCTTTATGAACTTTTCTTTGGGGGGTTTCCATGGGTTAACCACCAAATCATACCCTAAAGATTAGGTTCAGGAAAGCGGATATAATATTGATATCCACTGAACGCTTGCCCGTGTAAGCTCCAGATAGAGCGAAGTTGCCGTCAGATTGAAATTTCCTCCTGCAAGCGTCTGCAGTTGTTCGGAGATATGAAGATGAGGGAGTCTCGTAACCCTTCGGTCAGAGTTTTCCGGAATAAATGCTACCCACATGTAACCTGTCTTCACGTAACAAGCTGAAAGTACCAAAAGGAACCGCAACGCGAAGGGAACATATGGATGAAATCGTAGCAAGGTTCGCAACTGCCCTGAACTGATTAGTGCGACCCAGCTGAATATGGAGAGGGTCCAGGACAGAAGGCGGTTTTCTCCTGTTCGGAAGTGACTAGTAATGATAAAAAACCATGTACAGATCGTTCAGAGTACTAAGTAATAATACGTCCTGAGTATCATACCATGTATTATTCCAATATCCGCTGTACTAAGCGTGTATCGCTAGAGTATTCTTCGAGCAGTGTATAGAGTGACCGATGGCCATCCATTCCCCCTTTCATATCCAAAACAAGATATGTGAAACAATGTTTATTGGGAATATGGAAGTTCGCTATCGATATACGGCAACACGTTGACATCATGACGGTAATATATGACGAAAGTGGGTTTGTAAAATCTGCTCAAGAGATTTACCAACAGCTGAAACACAAATCCCGGCGCACATAAGGAGTGAAAATCACCTCCTCGAACTTGGACAGGCCAGCATGGGGTGGGCTGGATGTCATACTGTCTCGTTGCCAGGCAATACTCCGTACAGCAATAAACGAGCAAGAGTTCGGCTCTGCGTTTGTTTTATAGAATAAGTTATCGTAAACTCCTAGACCGATGTTGCAAATCGTTCAGACACCTTGCATTCGGATGTCGAATGGCCAGCGATACTAATGAAGTAATGGAGCGGAGTGGAATGAGGAAAGCGTTTGGTCGTATACTATAGTACATTCGTTCAAAGAGGAAATTTCGTATCATTGATTGGCTGTTGGTCCCGGTACAGTTTTCTATCAGAGCTTGTTTACCGCCATCGCATTGGTATGTATTTTGGCGGGTTTTGTTTTTTGGGCACGATACGCCATGTGCATAAGTATACGAATGTTTCATGCGTTCTCCATTCTCAAACTTATGTGACTTGTCGTAATGGACTTGGGAAGGCCTGAACTCGTGAACCAAAAACATCTCGATTGCTTTTCGATGACCAACGACGGTCTTGACTTTTAACTGCCAGAGTGTTATATTTGCTACTAAGATGCCGTCCAGTAATGTATTTTTCGTAAAACTGTTAGGCTGATGAGATCTCGGTCAGGTATTGGGTAAGCGGTAGCGAGCCATGACATACACAACTTTTCAAGCTCAACGAACCACGATCGACCTCATCCTTGTTGCAACCCATCCACCCCACTCCTTCGGAGTCCTTCTTGTCGATTTGACGGCCCCAATCTTCCTTTTAGCGCTTACCCAGGGTTTATACAACGAAAAGGCGCAGGGGTACACTTCTAGGAGCCAGGTCCCTTCTAGGAGCCAGGTCAAGCCACCTTGCGATGCGTGGGTACGTAGCTACCCAGCGGGAGTAAGCAGGGAAGCTCGTTCTCGCCCCAAGTTTATCTAATGATATCGATCTACTAACACGAGTATCTCTGGTATGACGCTGCTCGGCTTTCTAGAAGAGTTAAATAAAGTATGTTCTGTTCAAAAGCTCGTAGAACTGTACACCTACTCACTCCCGTAGCAAAACACCCACTATAGTCTTGTAACAGAAACCTCCGTTTCGCCACCACTCTTTTAGCGCTGACAACCTGCTGCCAGTCGCTTGGAAATGCCATAAAAAGGGCTGGCGGAGTCGGCGGAAGGAGTCATTGAATGGCGACCGTAGATAGTTTTCTTTATATGTATTGACTAGCTCCCCAAACAGCTGCGCATTACTCGTATCCTGCAAAGTTATAACGTGGCTCCACTTGTCTCGTCATCCAAAGGGCAGGAAGCCAAAATGCAGATCCGGTTAGGCTAATTCATAAATCCGTTTTCGGGGTTGAAGGGAAAAAGTTGGGATTTTTCAAACGTTCGCGATTGCGTTTCGCTATCTCCATGTTGCGCATACGGTCAATACGCATCTGGTAGAAATTCCTGTGGCTCCATTAGCTTTTTTCGAACACGGTGTGAAAAGAAGAGAAAAAAATGTTGAAGGTTCACCATGGAAAAGCATACTTATGAAGTGAGAATATGCGGGGCCCTTCGTCTGTGCGTGTCTCGGCCGCGCTATTCTGGATAGATTTGATCTGCGCCACTCAGTAAATATACGCACACAATATTTCCTAGAGGCATGAAGCACAGCATTCAAGCACGGAGTTCCCCTTGTGAAACAACAGGACAAGAAACGCGTGGCGCGAGCTCACTTTATCATCCTTCTCTTTTTCCGCCTTCTCATCTTTCTTCTTATCCCCTTTATCATCGCCGTCTTTCGCATCCTTGCTCTTTTGCTTCTCTCTTTTCATTTTCTCCTCATATTCTGCTTCACTTTTTCGATTTCCCTGTCCATTTCCTCTTTTCTTTTCTTCGCCGCAATCTCCTCCTCGTCTATAATCGGCGAACAAAACCCACGGTCCTTTAGATGTATAGAGCAAACATAGAAAAAATCCTGTAAGTCCCGCACCGCCAAACCATGGCAAAGCAAAAGTAAAGAATTTAGCAAAGCACACCCAGTCAGTGCATAATAATTGGTGTTTTGCAACGCTCACCCGTTTGTCTGGAGTAACCAATACACTAGAAGATGGTTTGTAGCATATATCGCACGATCGTGCTGCTGTCTTGGCCACTTTACGGTGGTGCCAAATGTTAGGGAGCGCCATGCCTGCCAGTGGTGGCTGTGAGGTTCTAAACACAACTTTCCACGACAAGCAAACAAATAAAAATATGCTATGCTGCGCGGGCGATGTCGAGCACGATGATAATAGCCGCTCTACCATGAGACTAGACTCCCTGATGCGAAGCCCGTGACTGGCTTCTGTAGATGTGACAATGGGAAGTCGTGGAATTGGGAGAGGGTTCCAAAGCTTGATCCACCAAACCATGTGACATCCCGAAAATAAAGGTTGGTGATGCCGAGGGGCCGAGGGTGGATCCCGGCTAATCAGGTTACACGTCAACTGCCCCCGACGCTAGTGAAGGTCACCTGACCCGGCCATCTGCCAAGACCAACCAGTCTCCCATAACATATACAATTTTTTTAAAAAAAAAAAATAAATAAAGAAATAAAAAAATAACACTATTTCAACGGATATATATATAGCCATCTCCTGTCTGCAGAAAACTCATAGCCCTCACACTACCAAAACATAGCTGGGCTATTCAAAAACGAACCAACCATCATCTTCTCCCTTGGGCACTAGAATTGAGCCAATATCATGGCAACCACGTACATCTTGCTCGTGCTATGGACGATTCCATGACTGGACGGGAGTTACAGTAACTGCCCATAGGACTACCCAACACGCAGGAGCCTCCGGAGACCGATGGATGATTCGGCTGTATATTTCGCGATGACAACATCAACCAGATGAAGGAGACTCTCACTAAGATGCATTGAGAGAAAGTAAAATATTTATGTATAATTGGTTTTCTAACCCAAACCTAGTTCCTGAAAAGTACAGACATCTTGCTCACTCCGTCACGCCCTCTTTAATCCCATCTAACGAATCCTTCTCCATAATCCCTGACAGCAGGCTCTTATTCGTATTCTGCGCCCTCCTCTTCGCATCAACCCAGATCATAAAATCGCTATACGACTGCGGCATAACCTGCACATCCTTCTCGACCAGGAACGTATAATGGAACACCCCAGTAGGTTTCTTAGTCGTGTGCTCTGCATCGCGCACCTTCGAGTCAACGCGGACCTGGACTTTTGTGAATTTGCGCGTGCCGCCGCCGCCGCCGCTGCTGTTGTTGTTGTCACTGCCAGCAGCGCTGGAGTCCGTGGAGGTGATTGGAGGATCAGTATATGACACCGTCGCTTTAAGGTACAAGACCGAGCCTACTGGGACGGGGTTGTCAAAGGTGCTAGGGTCGAGGGAGAGGAAAGTCGGTCTTGAATTTGAAAAGGATGCCGCACAGCAGAAGGCTAGTTCGAATGTTTGCTTCAGCAGGGTAGCCGCCGAAGATCATGAAGTTGTGCCTGTTGCGGTACTGCGGTTGCATGATCTGGGCAGATTTGAGGATTGTTTCTTTCATGTGCATGAGGTTTTTAGGGCGGGCGACAGGATTTTGCGGATCTGTTGGTATGAGCAGTAAGTTAGATATTTGTTAAATTAGCGAACTTTGGAGACGTGACTTGATTTCATTCATGCTGTCCTTCGTATCAAGACCTCCTCTCACCCCCCGGTTTGTGTTATGAGTGCTGTACATAATGTCGACACATACTTAGATAAGCCATCTCCTTCGTCCACATAGCATGGATAAGATCACTCTCCTCATCGTTCGGTGTCTGCTGAAGCAAACTCCTGGTCCTCAACTGCTTTTTGGCCTTGTAATTCTTCTCCCCAAGCTCGAAAAGCCTCCGTTCCTCATCCGTCTCCACAAGGAGTGGTGCAACAGCTACCGGCCTAGATTATATAAATAAGGTTAAACATAGAAATGAGTTAGTCCATAAAATCCGAAAATTGTTACAAGCATTGCACCCATACTACCTTAAATAATACACACGGCGAATGCAATGACTAACACGCTTGCATGAAGGCATATGGAGGAGCGAGTAGAGAGCAAAATATAAACCATTTCGTCCAACCTTCCTCCACAAATCCGAAAGCTCAAAAAAAGTGGGATAATTAAAAAGGAGAAATAGGAGGGAAAGACCCCTCAGGGGAAAAAAGAGAGAAAAGAAAAGAAAAGAAAAGAAAGAAAAAAAGAAAGAGTCCACCTACGTATTGGTCACAGGGTCCAACGAAACCATCGTAAACGCACATGTAATCAACACATCCTCCTCCTTAACCGGCTGCCCATTCACCGGCGCTTTTGCAACCTGCAGTGAAATCTCCATGCTCGAACGGCCAGTTGCATATGTGACCTGTCCGCTGAGTTCCAAGTCGCAGATCTCCTTGAGCGTGTGCTCGATGGTGATGCGGTCGACTGCGGCGGTGACAGTCATGACTGAGTCGCCTGTGTGGGCGTATGCGACAACGCCGGCTAGCGCGTCTAGGTCCATGAGCAGGGAGCCTAGGCTGGTGGTTATTAGGTATATGTGATTAAAAAGCCGTGCTGTGTAGTAGAATGTTCTTTTTTCGGGCCGCGAGAGGAGAGATGGGGTAGGGCTCGGATGGGGAGGGGGAGAGAAAATGACTTCTCACCCGGATATGCCCTGAGGCATTTCAGATATGTATCTAATAACCATGGGTCTTGGGGCAAGTGGAAGTATCTAATCGGAGACCATGAAAAATGGGAAAGGAAGGAGTTAGATCCTACCCCAATAATCCTATCTCAAAAAA